TATAAAAGGGGAGGAGAGAGAAGGAAAAGTGAAGCTAAGGAAAGAAAAAGAGAGGTGGATAGAAAGAGATAGAGAAGGAAGACGCGAAAGAGAAAGGAGGGGAGAGGAGAAAGAAAGAAGAGATGAAGAGAAAGAGAGGGGGGAAGTAAGCGATAAAGAAAGAGAGTGATATACAGCAAAGGAGGCGAGGAAGAAGAGAAAGAAGAAAGATATGGCGAGAGAAAACGTTAGAAAATGTAATGAAATGGATATATATATATATATATATATATATATATATATATATATATATATATATATATTAAAGAGGAGGGAAAGAAGAGGAAGAAGAAAGTACAGAAACTGAAAAGAAGAGAAAATGAAAAGATTAAAGACATTGGAAAGAGTGACGAGAAAGATAAAAGAAGACGGGTGTGGAGAGATAGGAAAAGAAGGAAACGGTAAAGAAACAGACAACTAAAAAAGTGATAATGAAAGGGTGTATATATATATATATATATATATATATATATATATATATATTATGATATTACAACAAAAACATGTAAAAATCGCTACACAATTGCAGTCGTGTTTCAACGCATAAAATGCGTCTCTTCAGGCGATTATAAATTACTGGCGAGTGAAAGATTAATTTACTTTAAAAGCAAAAGACATTCTTTTTTTTTGGAAAACAAAATAAGGCTTGAAGACTTTACCCTGATAAACCAATTGAATATGTCCTACGTTAAATTCAAACTAAGTGAAAAAGGAAAAAAAACTAGAAATTATTATCTTAGAAATGTGTCATGGCCAGGAGTTGGCATCTAACAGCAGCCAGACATTAACTTAAAGACTAATACAGACGGTTACATAAAATGTACGCAAGAACTAAAATTTATGTATGAGAAAGTAAGTAAAAGTATAGCGACAAATAAAATAAAAGTTAATAAAATTAGTGACTCCCTCAATAGCTGAGATGAAATCAGTTAGATCACAACCTTCAAATAACAGTAAAAAATATAAAAACTGTTGCAATAGATAGATAGATAGATAGATAGATAGATAGATAGATGTGAACAGACTGAGATACATAGATAGTTATGAACAGACTGAGATAGATAGATAGATAGATAGATAGATAGATAGATAGATAGATAGATAAAAAAAAAAAAAGAATATAGATAGATAAAAAAACAAAAGATAGATAAAAAAAAAGAAGAATAGATAGATAAAAAACAAAGAATAGATAGATAGATAGATAGATAGATAGATAAAAAAAAAAGAATAGATAGATAGATAGATAGATAGATAGATAAAAAAAAAAAAGAATAGATAGATAGATAGATAGATAAATAAGATAAAAAAACAAAGAATAGATAGATAGATAGATAGATAGAATAGAGAAAAAAGATAGAAATAATAGATAGATATAAAAAACAAAGAATAGATAGATAGATAGATAGATAGATAGATAGATAAAAAAAACAAAGAATACATAGATAGATAAAAAAAAAGATAGATAGATAGATAAATAGATAAAAAAAACAAAGAATAGATAGATAGATAGATAGATAGAAACAGATAGATAGATAGATAGATAGATAGATAGATAAAAAACAAAGAATAGATAGATAGATAGATAGATAGATAATAGATAGATAGATAAAAAAACAAAGAATAGATACATAGATAAAAAAAAAAAAAGAATAGATAGATAGATAGATAGAAAACAAATAGAATAGATAGATAAAAAAAAAAAGAATAGATAGATAGATAATAGATAGATAGATAGATAGATAAAACAATGAATACATAGATAAAAAAAAAAAAGAATAGATAGATAGATAGATAGAGATACAGAAAAAAAAAAGAATAGATAGATAGATAGATAGATAGATAGATAGATAGATGGATAGATAAAAAATAAAAAAAAATAGATAGATAGATAGATAGATAGATAGATAGATAGATAAAAATAAAAGAAAAACAAAGATAGATAGATAGATAGATAGATAGATAGATAGATAGATAGATAGATAGATAGATAGATAAAACGAGAGGAGAACAAGAGAAAGGAGAAAATGCAGGGGAAGAAAAAGAGAGTTATAAAAAGAGAAAAAGATGGAAGTGATAAGCGGGAGAGAAGAGAAAGAAAGGGGTTTAAAGAGGAGAAAGAGAAAAAGAGGGGGAGAAAGAAAGCGATAAAAAGAGAGAAAAAATGAGGTGGAGCAAGAGAAAGGAAAACAAAAAGAGAGTTATAAAAATAAGAAAGAGAGTAAAGAGTGAAGAGAGAGTGAAAAAGTGAAAGTAAAAGATGGTAAAAGAGGAGGGAAGGCAGTAAGAGAGAGAGAGAGAGAGAGAGAGAGAAAGAAAGAAAGAAAGAAAGAATGAAAGAAAGAAAGAAAGAAAGTACAAGGAGGAGAGAAACAAGAGACAGAGCATATGTGTTAGAAAAAGCTTTAGAAAAAAAGAGTAAATGTATAGGAAAGAGTGAAGAGAGAAAGAGAAAGAGAAAGAGAAGGACAGATAGGGAAAAAGAGAGAGAAGGAAACGAGAGAAAATAAAGTGATAAAGAGAGGAGGAGGCAGGGAGAGTAAGTGAAAGAAAAGTAAAACGAAAGAATGAATAAGAGAGGAAGAGAGAAAGATATTGATGGACGGAAGATTCCAACCTAGTTCTTGACAAACTTGAATTCACTGTTTCCTTTGCTTTTATTCCTCTTACACTTCTTTCGTGATTTCCTACGAGATTTCCTACGAGATTCGGCGTCTTTTTCCGCCGCCATGACATTTCCATCTTTAGTTTTTCTTTTGTGAAAATTTCTTTTCTGTTTCTCTTTTTATTGGTCCGAAACAGAAGTCAAAAACATGACTTCTGTTTCGAAGATCATTTCCTCCGAATATTAGTTTTTCACAACTGGCATCAATTCGCACAACAAAACATTTAAAAATATAATTTTATCTTTAGAAAGAAACAAAAACAAAAATATTTGGACACAAACTGAATATTGTGTGATTAAGCTTTCATAAAATTTCTGACTGCTTACAATTTCCTTCACTTGCAATGTCCTTCTACAATACAACACCAGAAACACAATTGTATCGTTGTAATTCATAGTAAAATATATTTCTGTCGTAAAAAAATAACTATATATTTATATCGTAAAATATTAGCTATATAAACTTATCGTAAAATATTAGCTATATATTACTATCATAAAATATTAACTATATATTTTTATCGTAATATTTTACGATAAAATATATAGTTAATATTTTATGATAGTAATATATAGCTATTTTTTATATATTACTATCGTAAAATATTAGCTATATAATCTTATCGTAAAATATTAGCTATATATTTCTATCGTAAAATATTAGCTATATAACCTTATCGTAAAATATTAGCTATATGACCTACTCGTAAAATATTAGCTATGTAAACTTATCGTAAAATATTAGATATATATTTCTATCATAAAATGTTAACTATATATTTTTATCGTAAAATATTAGCTATATATTTGTATCATAAATTATTAGATGTATATTACTATCGTAAACTATTAGCTATATACTACCACCGTAAAATATTAGCTATATATTTGTATCATAAATTATTAGATGTATATTACTATCGTAAAATATTAGCTATATATTTGTATCATAAATTATTAGATGTATATTACTATCGTAAAATATTAGCTATATATTTGTATCATAAATTATTAGATGTATATTACTATCGTAAAATATTAGCTATCTACTACCACCGTAAAAAGTATATAGAGCACTTGGCGAAATTCAAACTCATTAGAATCCAAAGAAGAATCTGTAATATTATCGGTGTTGACCTGGTATCTCGTTTCAGTCCTTTTCCCATCGCCGTAATATAGCTTCTCTGGGCCTTTTCTATGAATGTTTTTATGACAATTGTTATCATAAGTTTTCTTACTTGGCACCAAGACTTTATGAATTTAAGAGCAGTACTAGATTGGCGGCTAGGTCTCATCATTTTACAGTTGAAATGGCTAGATGTAAGCGTAAGTTCTATGCTACCAATTTTAACTCTTGCACTTCTCGACTAATACCAGACTGGAAATGAGGTCTCATCATTTTGAAATTGCAATGGTTAGGCATAACCGTAAGTTCTATGTTAACAGTTTCTTCTGTCGCAATTCTCGCTTGTGGAACTTTCTTCCAGCTCTTTGCTTTCCAGTCAACTTTGATCTTCAAAAATTTAAAAGCATTATCAATCGTTATATTCTGTCTAAATGTTGTTCTTTTATTGTCCTCTCTCCTTAATAGTGTTTTTTTTCTCATAATGTTCATTTATTATCCTCTCTCCTTAATGACATTTTTTAGACTCTTTCACTCTCAAGACCATCTAAAATTTAAATGCAACCTCTCAGGACCATCTAAAATTGAATGCAACCTCAATCAACGTTTTCTTTCATTATAAAGCCTTTTATTTTATTGTCCTTTCTCCTCGCTAAGGTTTTACTTATTTCTCTTTCACTCTCAGTAGCCCCTTGCATCTTAGTGGCATTATTATCTTGTCGGGGTGAAACGATTAAACAACAAAAAAAAAAAAACAACAACAACAACAAAAAAAACGCCAAGAAATGGGCTTACGGCCATATCACTTTGAAACACCGGTTCCAGCACGATCACTGAAGTTAAGCAACGTCGAGCTTGGTCAGTACCTAGATGGGTGACATCTTTGGAATACCAAGTGCAGTAAGCTTGAATGCGTAGGTGGTATGACTTACAACCATATACGTTGAAATAACGGTCCCCGTACGATCAACGAAGTTAAGCAACGTCGAGCCTGGTCAGTACCGAGATGGTTAACCGATGGGGAATACCAGGTTCTGTAAGCTTGGATGCGTGGGTGGTATGGCTTAAAATCATATACGTTGAAAGAACGGTTTCCGTACGATCAACGAAGTTAAGCAACGACGAGCCTGGTCAGTACCTAGATGAGTGACCGTGTAGGAATATCAGGTGCTGTTATCTTTGATGTATAGTCTATGTAATGGATAATGGCTCGGAATTGTTAATCGGTGTTCCAGTGCGAGTTGATTTCGTTATATTTCACTTACGCGAAAATATCCTTGAAGCTATCTCTTCTCCCCCAGCTATGGGTTAATTAGTAAGACTTATATCACTAAAATCATTATTATCTCTCCTCCTAAAAATTCTTACAATCAAAGAATATTTTCTGACTTTAAATAACCCGCAAAAAGTTGATAATCCGTAGAAAATGAATGAATAGATCAGCAGCGATTACAAAAAAAAATGGCCTGTTATGTTAGTTTGTAAACTATTGGACTAGCACGGCTTGGTATATCGCTTTATGTTGTACAGCTAGCGAGGATCGAAACCCTAATAACAGTAGGCGAGACCAGCGTACTAGTTCTTGCGACACGGTGAGATTAAAATGGTCCTTTCTAGAGGTGACTGAGTGTACACTAGTGTTTACTTGGTTTGACAGCTGTGTCAACATCATTTCATCCTATATGAGCGATCACAGCGAGCAGGTCACCAACAGTCAGTGATCTATCTGAATTATAAACAGCATACTACTTTTTACTACGCCAAATGTAAAGATATTTCTTTCTTTTGTGACTACAAACTTTAGTACTATGACAACGACTGTGGGTGTCAACAATGTTCCACTATGAAACACCTCGACTGCTAGGTTAAGTATAGCTCCGCCGAAGGAGCGCTGAAAAGATCCCAGCTTGACCCACTTCTCCGAATCAGTATTTGAATGATAAAAAAATCAGAAAACTGATTGTGGAATGTCGGTCGGTCGAACCGAGAACTTTTCAAAACACTCCCGAATAGTTCCAATATTTAAAAAAAAAAAAAGTTAAAAAAGGTTCTTGAAAAGTTCGTGGTCTAACTTTGTTTTTTTTAACAGTATGGTTCGCCCTGTACAACATTACAAAAAAAAAAAAAAAAAGACGCAAGTGTTCCTGACGAAGAGAGAATATGTGAAAAAGAAAATAATTTTTAAGGAGAGAAAAAAATAAACGCACATGAATTATGAAGAGAGTAGATGACGATTGACATTGCATTTAAATGTCTCAATAAGACAGAATATATCACAACCTCCCCTGAACCATCCGAGTTGAAGTCACGCAATAATATATCCATCAAAAGAAATGAGGACTTCAAAGATCTTGGATCTCACATAATAGAATCCCAAAAGGATTTTAACATTCGCAAAGCCCTTGCATGGAATGTGTGTAACAAACTTGACAAAATTTGGCGCCCGAACCTTCCATCCTCATTAAAAGTCTAAACCTTTCAATTATTGATTGAACAGTCCTTCTATATGGATCAGAAACTTGGGCATTATCTGTTCGTCAGGAAAGACGACTGGATGGAACATATAGAAATCTACTTAGAAAAATCTAGAACATCAGTTGGAGATCCCATCCAATGTTTAACACAATTTACGGAGACCCATATATATTGAGCTCAAACAAAATCGATTACAATTTACGGGCAACTGCCACCGAGCCGACAGGGAAGTCATCTCATTCTTACTCCTAGGGCATCCTTCAGGAAGTGTCTTCTCACGAAAATTGACTCTCACCCTAGCTCTTGGATCTGACATAACAGATTTCCAAAAAGCTCTTGTATGAGATGTGTGTAACAAACTTCACAAAATTCCATCCTCCATAAAATTTCAAACCTTTTGAACATTGATTGAACAGATTGTCCTGTATGGATCAGAAACTTGGACATTATTTGTTCGTCTTGAAAGAATGTTGTTTATCGTCATACCCAGGATTATCGAAACGCAAACAAATCAATATCTAAAGAAGATAACATGTTAGCGCTTGAAGCAATAAAAATGTCGGATTAAAATAACATTAATTCTTTAGAAATTGTTTTGCTTACATTTCAGATACGAAACTGAGCAGATCCTGACTTTTCTTGTAAATATAAAGCATCGGGAGCGGGGTTACGTATCTATTGGAGTGGCACAAGAAGATACTACATTTAAAAACGGATTCAATATGAAATTTCTTGAAGGTTACCGAGTTCGACAAGTACCTGATGAAGGCCGGGGGAGGGGGATATCGTGTAAAAAAAGTGAGTTCATGCCTGTCTAAATGTCTATCTTAAGATTTCTTGGCGATATCAGCGTGTGAGTGTGCGTTTAATTCTGCGAAAAGTTGTTGTTGGAAACATGTGTGGGTGGGTTATAGATGTACTCAACGTGAAATGGAGCGTAACTTTCTCGCCTCCTCGCCATCGCCCCTGAAAGTATGTTTTAATTCATTGGGAGGGTGTCGTGAAGGGAATATATATATATATATATATATATATATATATATATATAGAGTATGTATGTATGTACGTATGTATGTAGCAAAAACAGTTATAAGTCTTCCGTTTTCAAGCAAGGAGTTCCGTGCCAAAGCGGATTTCATTTGCTAAGAAACTAGCCACAAAAATAGCTTCCTTCTGGCAGCTTTCACAAAATAGATTGTAACACCTATGAAACAAAAAGATTTTAATAAAATATTACAAAACGGTCTCTCTTTCTCAGTCACGCAGCACGCACATATATATATATATATATATATATATATATATATATATATATATATATATACACAGACATATACATATTGTGTATATATATATATATATATGGATATAGAAAGAAGAAACATTGGACATTACAATGGGAAGCTTTGACAGTGCAGAAATCAGTGCGCTTATAAGTATACATTTGCTACAGTGAGCGAAATAAAGGGTTCAGCTCGACATTCCAACCACCTGAAGAAGGCTAGAGCGTACAACGGCCGAAACGTTGTAGTAAATATGGCGACAAAGATGATTTTTGAAAAAAAATATTAACAGCAATACATTTTTGAAAACAAATATTACGAACAATATATTTTTGAAAAAAAAAATATTACTGACAATATATTTTTGAAAAAAAATATTTCCACCAATAAAAATTGTCACTAAATAATCCAGTGAGGTTGATAGGCCGTAAACCAACGCAAACCAGATCTATCAAGAGAAATTGCAATACGAAATATACCTACACCAACAAACGTAACTGCATTACAAGCTGTTTTAGGACTGACTAATTATTATCGAATTTATGTACAAGATATACATAATTTGACAGCTCCACTTAACAATCTACTGAAAAAAGGAATGAAGTGAGTTCATAAATGTCAAAAAGCGTTTGACGAGAAAAAAAGTCTTACGTTGGGTTTATCACGAGGGCATTACAATCCAAAAACAAAACTTGTATTAGGATCAGATGCTACTGATTACGGTAATGTTGGAGCAGTGATTTTACACAAATACGATGGCGGTAAAATAAAAGCTTTCGTTTACGCTTCACGCTTGCTTCTACCAGCAGAGAAAAATTACAGCCAGATAAAGAAAGAAGATATAGCAATCATATTCGCTATGAAAACTTACATAAATTTATTCATGGAAGAAATTTCGCGTTGCAAACAGACCATAAACCGTTATTAGCGATATATTGTACAAAGGATATACCTACCCATACAGCTAACAGATTACAGCGCTGGGGTACCATCCTCTTAAATTATAATTTTACGATGGAGTACCAACCGTCGAAAAGAGCTGGGAAATGTGGATAGATTATCTAGGTTAATACATAAAAATCTGGAACCATTTCCAGACACGGTCATAGCAGAGTTAAAAAGTGAGATGGAAATTAAAAACACTATTTACATTATTCGGACTATTGTCCTCATCTTTGTCGCCATATTTATTACAACGTTTCGACCGCTGTACGCTCCGGTGTACTTCAGGGGGTTTGAATGTCGAATTGAACCCTTTATTTCGCTCAATGGGGTAGACTGTGCTAGATCCACGTGCCAAATCTAATGGATGTCAGTTATTGCCTGTTAATTTCCCTCTGAAAGTACTTTATTGCCTTAGCCGGGTATTGAACTCACACTCTTTGGGTCCTGTCACTGGACCTAACAAACGCCTTTATCCACTGTGCCATCTGATAACTGACATCAGTTTGAACACTCTAAGCTAAAACCAACGGGATGAATTACAAATTTGTAGAGAAAAATTACAAATATTTTTTTTTAAATATATTAATTTTTTTAGACTCTTTACATTATTCGGACTATTGTCTTCATCTCTGTTGCTATGTTTCAGCCGTTGTACGCTCTGGCCTTCTTCAGGTGGTTGGAATGTCGAACTGAACCCTTTATTTCGCTCACTAGGGTAGATTGTTCTAGTTCCATGTATCATGTCTAATGGATGTCCGTAATCAGTTATCTCCTGTTAATTCACTTCTCCAAGTTCTCCATTGCCTTAAGGACACGTGGCACAGTGGATAAAGGCGATGGTTAGATTCAGTGACGGAAATCAAGAGTGTGTGAGTTCAATACCTGGTTAAGTCAGAGAAGAACTTGGAGAGGTGAATTAACAGGCGATAACTGATAACTGATATCCATTAGACATGGCACGTGGAACTAGAACAGTCTACCCCAGCGAGCGACATAAAGGGTTCCGTTTGACATTCCAACCAACTGAAGGAGACCGGAGCTTACAACGGCCGAAACGTTGTAATAAATATGGCGGCAAAGATGAGGACAATAGTCCGAATGATGTAAATAGCGTATATAATACCTCATCTCAGAAATATAGACAGATACTGAAAGGGCCGAAACGTTCTAATAAATAGAAGGACAAACATGAGGACAATAGTCCGAATAATGTAAATAGTGTACATAATACCTCATCTCAGAAATATAGACAGATATTGAAAGGCCGAAACGTTGTAATAAATATGGCGACAAAGATGAGGAGAATAGTCCGAATAATGTAAATAGTGTACATAATACCTCATAGATATAGATATATATCTTTATAGAAAAGCGGTGAAGATGGTGAACCGGATTGGACTATAAAATAGAAGACAAGTACGAGTTGCAGTGTGTTTCGCGCAGCATGAGAACAGTTGTCGCTGACGTATGGCT